TGCATGTTAAAATGGATATTAAATGTTTATACTGTATGGTCCCAAATTTATGATATAAATATGAGCCTATTTTTTAAAAAATATTTTATTTATTTATTTATTTATTTATTTGTCCGCGAGAGAGAGTGAGCGAGCGAGCCAGCACAAGCAAGTGCACAAGCAGGGATCTGCGGGCTCTCCGCTGAGCAAAGAGCTCGGCGCAGAACCCGATCCCAGGACCCCAGGATCATGACCTGAGCTGAAGGCAGACACTTAATGGACTGAGACACCCAGGCGCCCCAGAATGTATTTTAAAGCTACAAGCGAGATGCCTGGCTGCCCTTAATACCTCCCTGAAGGGGGAAGGAAGTGAACATGGAGATGGGGAGCTGACGGAGCAAAACCAGGGAGGGCAGAGCCGCTGCCATCACTGGCCACTGGTCACCGCTGAGGCCTAGTGACCTGGGTCTTCACCCCAGCTTCGGTGACCTTGTAGTTTTGGGTGTACCCGGCTGCCCGATACAAGCCTGTGTTAAAAGGCTGATGGGTACTTGACCAGGAGGTAACAGTGCTCGTAGCCGAGTGGTCGGGTTCAATCCGTCCAGCTTTTCTGCTGCTTCTCCCTTTCCCCACTTTCTACAATGACTGTGTGTTATCTTATGACCAGGAAAGAAGATCAACATGTGTTATGCACAAAGTAGCACCAGCGATAAGGAATGAACTCAGCATTCCATCAAGCTTGCTTTTTGGAAGCTACAGCTCTGACCCCCCACACCTCCAGCTGGCTTTCTCAGCGAGGTGACTGTCCCAGAGAGGTACTGATCTCCTCTGGCTCAGAGGCAGTCCTGCCTGGCTGTCAGGTCTGCTAGGCCATCCTGGGGGAGCAGGAGACAGTGCTCTGAGAATTGAGCACTTGCCTTTCTGGGGGACAGTGGGCCCTTGGACCCACAGCCTGGTCCATTCATTTGTCCAAGCGTGCCCTGGGCCTTGTGGGGGCCCAGCCCCAGAAATACAAAGGGGTAAGCCACAAGCCCAGGATGAAGAGGCTCAGAGTTGCTCAAGAGAAGACCAGGAGACAGTGTGGGGAGAAGCATGGCTGGGGCGCATGTGTGTGATGGTAAGTAACCACAGGAGGGCCTGGCCCAGCCTGTGAGATGCAGGAGACGGCTGCGGGTCAGGGCTGAGCTCCCGGCAGCCCAGAGGCAAATGCAGAGACACAAGGACCAGCCCCAGACAGGAGCTGAAAGCCATTTGCTATGGCTGTTTACAGGGCATGAGGTCACACGTCCGGGGATCTTGCTGATCACGTTAGGGGGCCGGATTTCAACCACAGGGCAGTAAGGAGCCACTGAACGATTTTAAGTCAGGGAAAGACCTGCTGAGGTAGGGGTAGGAAGTACACTGGAGGGGCAAGGTAAGAAGTCAAGATGCCAGGAACTGTCTGCAGGGATCAAGACAAACATGAATACGGGCTCTAAACACACTGAGGGTTCAAACCAGGCCGGAGAAGACAGAGCAGATCTGAAGAGCAAAAGGCAGAAGAATCACAAGCACTTGGTAACTTACTAGACACTTGGGTCTCCAAAGAGGAGTCCCCGGCGCACTGGGTGTGTGGTGATATGTCTGGCACTGAGAACACAGGCGCAGGAACAGATCCGTGGGGAGAGCATGAACCCCGGATCTGAGTGTGGCTTGTCTGGGGTGAGATGGTCAGGAGGAGTCACGTGCAAAGTTCTGGGGGTCAGGAGAGGGTCTGGGTTGAGGGTGTATATTTGGAGGACATCGACCAGAGCCCGTGAGACCTGCGGGGGGTGGTGTGACAGATGGGAGGGCCGAAGGTGGAAGGCATCAGTGTGGTGTGGGAAAAGGAGCACTCGAGGACAGTGAGCGGAGGAGGCAGAAGATGAGGCCGGGGCAGACGGAGAGACACAAAGAGGTGTACTGCTGGGGACGAGGGAGGGAAAGGTGGGCTTCCAGAAGGAGACTGTCAGGGGGGTTTCAGACCGGCAGAAGCCAGGCAGGCCCACGGCTCAGTGCTGGCTAGGGAGCCCCTTACAGTGCAGGCCCACGCACGCAGCATGGCCCCGGCACCAGCCCGGACCCAGCAGATACCGCACCCACGTTCATAGTTCACGGAAGGAAGACTAGGAGGCCTGGGCGTGCGGTGAGGGACGCCGAGCCCATTCTCCTCCCTGTGGGGATTAGGCAGGGCCAGCAGGGCTCCCAGTACCAGACCTCTCCAGCCCCAGAAAGGAACATGTGTGAGTCTAAAGATGGCAGACCAGGGCGCCTGGGTGGCTCAGTCAGTTAAGCGGCTACCTTTGGCTCGGGTCATGATCCTGGGGTCCAGGGATCAAGTCCCCACATCGGGCTCCCTGCTCAGTGGAGAGCCTGCTTCTCCCTCTCCCTCTGCCTGCTGCTCTACCTACTTGCGCGCTGGCAAATAAATAAATAAAATCTTTTTAAAAAGTTAAAAAAAAAATGGCAGACCCATGCCAAGCTCTGTCCCGTTGGTGGGTGGCCTCAGGCCCACAGAGAGGAGCTCACGGAGTTGGGGCTCTTGCAGGACAGTGCTGGGCATCTGCTGAGACACAGCGCCACCTTGTGGCAGGAGGTGCTCACAGCAGATTTCTGCCAGACTGCCAAGCCCATCACGCTGATGCTCCCAGGTCTTTATGGGACCCCGTGCACTGGAAGCAATGATCTGAGACTTTTACCACTTGGGCAGCCCCTGGGCTCCTGCCAGCAGCATCCCTGTGGCATCAGCTAAGGTCGGCCCTGCAGACAGATAAGGTAGGCAGGCTAGCATGTTAGCCAAGACCGATTTGGCCCCACAGTGTGGGCAGAGATGCAAGGCTTTGCTCTTGGGGTTGTGCCCCCCGTGACAGGAGAGACTGCACCGACTGCGGTTTTGTCGTGCATTTGTCTGCAGTGTCCTTAGGCACACAAAGTTAATGCTGGGCTTAATAAGCTCTCCCAGGCACGGCTGCCCATTCGCCTCCTACCCAGTCCACAGGAATCCTCAGGGACCATCTGCAGCAGGGTGTCATGTCTTCCTATGCGGCTCAGCCCAGGGGTGACTGTGGGGACCCAGGGCAGCAGGCAGGGGGCCCCAACAGCAGAGAACCACCCCCAGCCACCAAGCTGGGTCCTGGTGCAGCTCTGGAAGCCTGCTCCCCGGGGAGATATAGCTGAGGCCTGCCCACAACTCAGAAGGTCCCAATTCTGGGGGCATGCCCACATGCCATGGCTCACTCCTGACTGCTCAGCAGTTTCAGACCAGGTGACATTGTCATGACCTTAACTCCGCACAGTTAAAAGTTCATTTTTATTCTCAACTGCTGGTTCAGCTAGGCAAGACGGAGAGCTCTCTTCATGCTCTAAAACTTCCCCTTACTGCAGAAGCAATGCATGTACAAGGTTAAAAAATGTTTTCCAAAAACGTGTGACTTGGAAAGTTAATGTCCCTTATGTAGTTCTACTCTCTACTAAAATTTCCTATTAACAGCCTGGTCTATGTTCTTTCAGCTTGCTTTCCTATACACATACATGTGTGAGTGCGTGTGTGTGGTGGAGGGGTGTTTTCTACAATGACATACAGCTCTACAACTTATGATTTTCTCCTTTAACAGCATCTTTCTGGAGGCATCCTTATCACCCAGCCCCAATTCTGGTTAATTCAGTGACTTAAAACCAGGGTGGGAGAAAATGCAATGTCCTAGGGACCCAGGAGCTTGACAGTCCCAGGGAAATATAATTCAGGATTCAGTGGGGTGGCGGGGGGAGCGCGTGCTGGAAACCTGGATCAGCCAGGGATGAGAAAGGATCTCTCCCAGAAACAAAACCCCAGGAGGGGCTGACTCTACCCCGGCTGTCGGTACAGAACAGGCTGCGGTGTGAGTGTGACCCAGGCAGGCTGTTCTGGGAGCTGCCGGAGCCACGGGGACACCCTGTACGTTTCTGCTGAGTTGGGTGCACAGGCCAGGTGACAGCCGGCGTCAGAGCTGGGGAGCCGGGCCCTATGCCAGAGCTGAGGCCTGTGATCTCCAGGAGAGCAAGGACAGTTCCAAGACAAGCGGCCTCATATGCTACACCTGCTCTCCTCCTGGGCCCCACGGATCAGCCACAGGCCCCTCGGCGCTCCACTGCTGGGAGCCGGCTCACACAGACACCCCATGGGCTGCCCATTTCATGGTCAGTAACATCAACAAGGCAAAAAAAAAGGGAAGGACTAGATGGAAGTGCCAGTGAGGATGCTGTGGGATCCAGGGTCAGAGGAAGCCTTCCAGAATGGGAGAGCCCGTAAGTGCCCAGCCTCCTGCTGCTCCAGGATAGACAGTGACAAGCCCTGGCCTGGAGCAGGGCAGCAGGTTGTCCTGAGTTCTCTGGGGACGGGCAGTAAGACCAGGACGATCCCTCACTCATCCGAGTCATTTCCTTGCCTGTGATGTAATATCACCAGTACCTTTCCACGACTGAATGAATGATGTGCGGCCAGCACTCAGTAGGCATCTGCCAGACGATAAATACCAGAGCATCTCCTGCTACCGTTATTATGATCGGGGGAGAGCACCAGAACGGAAACGACTCCCCTGGCCAGACGGAGACCTCGGAGTAGAGCCCTTGGGGCCTCTTGCCTGGGTACAGCTGGGAACACACAAGCCCAGGACAGGTCCAAGCCCAGGAGGCGGTTTCACGCCCTCCCTGCACCAGGTGCTGGGTGGGCGGGGATCAAGCCAAAGACGGAAGAAATGCAAAAACCCAGAGCCTCTGCAGTCCCAGGGGCTCCCAGATGCCTCCATTTCTCGGCTCCTCCGAGGCTAAAAAGAGGGGATCCCAGCATTACCCGATGGGGTCCTCGGCTCCCACCTGGGGAAAGAAATGGGCCCGGGGCCCGGGGCTCAGCTCCCTGGAAGGGAGGCTGCTCCGGACCTTCCATGTGTGACCCCGGAGCTAAGTGTTCCCCAGGAACCACAGCTTGGCGCTTCTGGGGAAGGTGTGGCGGGCGCGCAGGGACTCACCCTGGTCGATGGAGTGCTGGGGGAGCTGGCTGAGCTGGCTGTTCACCACCCCCGCATAGGTGCGCAGGAACTCCTCCTCGCTGGCCGTCAGCTGCAAGGGTGAGAAGGCCACGGTGAAGGGCGGCCCACCTCCTCTCATCCCTGGGCCCCTGTTCCTGAGTCCTGACCCTTGGGTTCCAGAGCAAGTGTCCCCTCCCCCTTGCCGGAAGCCGGGCCCATGGTCCCCCAGGATCAGATCTGAGATTGCGTTTCCATGCAGCACAGGGCCTGCCCAGGGAGCCCATCCCTTTCTTCCTGAACAATGAGGCCCTCTCAGGGCCCTTCCTGCCCAGCGCCCCGTGGGCAGCTCCTGGGGAGACGGGAAAAGTGTCAGGTCAGGGCCCGTAGGGGCTCAGAGCCCCCCCCCGGGGCCCCAGCTCGGCATAGGGATGGGAAGACTGCCCCAGCAGCACCCCTGGAACTGGACGGGATTGGAGCCTGACCCCAAGGCCAGCAGCCCCACTCCCAGAGCAGCGCGGTCACAGCAGGTGGCTGCCGCCCACATCAGGCACCCTCCGGAGGAGAGCTGCTCCGCACCCCGAAGGCACTCACATTTGATCCCATCTTCCTCAGCATGAGCAGCACTCGAACCTTCTGCTGAATGTACGTCTCCTCCGGGCTCTTCCCGGGCGCCCCCTCGCGGTTCATCCCCTGGCCAGCCCTGGGGGCTCCTGCAGAGCGGGGAGAGGCGCTGAAGAGGGGGTCGGAACGGGCTGCACCAGATCCAGACTGGGTGCTTGGCAGGAGCCACCGGGCGGCCCACGGGGCTTCGGGGTCTCGCTTCTGAGAGCCCAGAGCAGGTGGCGAGCTGCACGTTCCTCCCTCACCCCTGCTGGCCCCAGGCAGCCGGACCAAGTGGCTTGATCCCGGTGCAGGCGCTGGTGGCCAGCACCCTCGCAAGGAGCTGTTGGGCCCAGGGACGCTGAGCTGACCCAGAACTTCTGGCCAGCTCGACCTTCCAGCCACCCCCTCACCAAGAAGCCTGCAATGAGCCCCAAGAGATGTGCTGAAGGAAGCCCAGTGTCCCAGGTTTTCAAGCATGCAACTTCCACAAAGAGCAAAAGCGACACGGCCAGAGGCAGCTGGCCGGCACTTCTGGCTGGAGAAACCGTGAGATTGGGACTGAGCCCCGAACACGAAGGCAGCCCCCTCCGCGGAAGCTCCTGATGAATTCAAGAGGCCGGCGCCTGGGCCGGGCTCCAAGGAGTCCCTTGATGGGGACAGGCCGGCTGGGGCCATGGGGCACGGATACCCACCTGAGCTCATGGCCATCAACCTCACACGCCCACCCCCATCAGAGGGCAGCGCCTGTGGGCTGCGGCTGTGTCCAGAGACCGCAGGGCCCCAAGCTGCAGAAAGGTCCCAGGAGAGAAGTCCCAGGGTTTCCCCCCCAGGAGGAGCCGGCAGAGAGGAAGCCAGGCGTGGAGGGGTTTGGGTTACACACTTGTAACCCCTGGATGAGTCAGAAATAACGCAGCAGCTGGTGGGGGCGGAGCCTCGGCAGCCCTGGTGCCAAGGGGCTGCGCTTGGAGGACCGAGGGAACCTGGCTTGCCAGCAAGCCCCGGACCCGCAGGCTCTCCCAGGCCAGCCTGTTCTCTGTGCAGGGGGCAGACTCCGAGATGTGCCAGAGCCCCGGAGGTCCCCGTCAGCTGCTCAGTCCCGTCAGCTCACAGCGGCTCTGGTCCCAAAAGTCCCCACAGTGGGCTAAAAAGCCATCAAGCTGGGCCTTCCGTAGAGCTGTAGACTTGATGTAGCTTGTCTTCTCCTGGGGCCTGCCTTTCCCCCACATCCCCTCCCCGCCACACTCCCTATGGTCTTCTCACCCGCCACCTCCTCTGGGCTCAGAAAAAAACCTAATGAACACTGACAACCGGGAAAGAGGGGTAAGCCACCTCCAGAAGGGCGCTGGGGGGAGGCAGCCCCGCCATCCCCGCCATCCCCAGCGTAGCAGACAACCCTAACTCCCTAGCACAGCTGAGTGGGAAAACCCAGTCGTGGGACTTCACGTCTCACACGGACACCTCCTCTCCTTTCCACTTTACTCCCCACATGAGGGCCCACGAGGCCTGCATGGGCCGCCCAGCCTCCTGCTCCACACGCCTCCCCACGTGCCCTGCCCTCCTGACCCCAGTCTATTTCTAGAACATACCAGGAAGTTCTTTCCCCGGCAGCCTTTCACTGGGTGTCCCCTGAGCCCGGGCTGGCTTCTTCTCATCCTTCAACGTGCTTAAAAAATCCTTTCTGGGGAACTTTTCTGACAGCATAACTGAAGCAGGTTCTGTGTACCACCCCCCCACAACCCCTACACCTTCCGGGTCACAAAGCCCAGGCTCATCCCAATTTTCTGAGCGGGTCTTGCTATAGAATATTTGCTTATCCTCTCTCCCCTGCCCAACTAGAGGGCCAGGCCCACCTAGCTCAGCCCATCCCCTGCAGCTCAGCACGGGGGCTGGGAGGCACTTAACAGAGACGGTCTGGCTGGCTGAGCAGAAAATGAGGACGGCCTGTGGTGTCCAAGCGTCTTCCTCACTATGATACCCACACTGACTTAGGGCCAAATGGCGCAGAATTGAAGCCTTGCCAAGTGGAGGGCCTTGGGCTACCCTACGCATCCTATTCCCCAGAGGACTTCTGAAACACCCCACAAAGCCCTCAAACTGGGAGTCAGGGCTTCCGGGAGTAAAAATCTTCCACTCCCATCCTGTGTCCAAGGGCCAACGGTCAGCTTGCTCTCTCCTTGTGAAAGGCAGAATCGAAGACTGGTGACCTGCCACCAGGTGTCACCACACACAAAAGAACCAGAATTCCAGCAAGATTCCCCACCTACCCCCACCACAACTTCCCAACAGGCCCATCTGGTTCAAGCCCTTATTCTGATCCTAAGTCATAAACCACACCCCAGTCCCAGGTCCCAGAGCAAGATCTATTCATCCTTCAGGGGCTGGGCCCTACTCAGACAAGGGTATGTATCTGGTTTGGGGGCGCATCCCAGGACCTAGGGGTCCTGGCTTCCCCGTGGGTGGGGACCCCTTCCTCACTGTCCTTTCCTGACCAGCCGAGCTTCCTCCAACAGATATGTGGGCTCAGAACCAGGAGAAGTGTGTGAGCCTGACCAGGAGCCCGAGTGTGCGAATCACTCTACATTGTCTAGTTTTACAGAATTTTGCTCTGTGCAACAATCCTGGCACCCTATACAGATGGCAGTCATTCTATTGTCTTCCACTGGAGCCTCACTGTCCCGAGGCCCTCCCACACTCAAACTGTGATTACGGGGGTGGGGGGAGTTTACACCACCCAGCCACGGGCCTAGGGTGTCATGGGGCCCGAACGGGTCTTTGGGGCCAGGTTACTCCCACTTCAGCTTCCGAGGCAGACTCGTCATTTCTAAGAATTCTGGTTTTCTAGCATTCTTCGAGCTTTACTTTGAGCTGCTTCTGCCCTGCTGCCTGACAAGCGGAAATACCCGGGGCTGGATCTGGGGCACAATGTAGGAGCCACGAGCACACATGCCTGTCCCCACACTTCAATCCCAATAGAGGATGGCATCATGACTAGTTCACACGGTTCCGTCCTAGACAGAATCTGCATCAGGAGTGTCACTGTGAAGAAAATTAATACTGAAGAGAGGAACCCATAATCAACCCAAACAACACATACGCTGCAATTGCTGATACGCTACAAGTCTGTTAAAGCGTGTTTGGGTTTGGTGCCTATCCCAGCAAACATGCTATTACATTGTCATCACCATTCTGACCGGTATCAGATCAACTTCATTTGAAAGTCCGTATTCCCCCCATAAGGGATGAAGAACTGGGCGCCTATGACGTGTGTCTGAATTACGGAAGCCCAAACTGCGAGTAATTTGTACAGAGTAGTTGTGGAGCCCTGAGCCGTGAGCAGGCAAAGGTCATGGTGACTCTCGGTTATGGTCTCCCAGATGCTCCGGAAACATGCCAACATCTAAAAAGGTGGCGCTTCCATTCTGAGTTCTGAGAAAATGTCTCGGTGTTAACTGCCCAAGTCAGAGGCAGACCTGCTCCCTCTCCTAGCTACCACTGTGGGAGCTAACCAGGGAAAAATGGAGACGAGCCAGAAAACGGAACACAGAAACAGGAAACCATCAGCTACTCAAATGAATGGTAAGGGCAGAGGCCCATGGCTAGATGCCGCTGTAGACAGCCACGCATTATACCAAAAGCGGAGATAAGTCCAGAAACTTACATCTGACTGGGACAAATGTAATTAAGGGAAACCAAGGTACATATGTTTAGTACAGACGCACAGACCCATTCCCCACCACACCCCCTACGTTCCTGTTGGTTCTGAGCCCACATCTCTGTGGGAGGAAGGCTGACTGGGACGGGGATCCCACCCACTGGAAGGGAGCCATACAAAGTGACAAAGTGGCCCATGGCCTAGGCGGCCACACTGCGTTCCATGGGGGACAGGGAGTTCCACACGTGATAGCATGTTCCTGCCCTGCCCTGAAGGGACCTGGCCTCTCCCAGCACACGCGCTCTGGCCTGGAAGCAGTGGCTGTCACTTTAGAAGAGCTACGGCACAGGAGGAGCCCCAGAGCAGAAGCGCCCAGCATCCCGCGCCGCCGTCAGGCCCATTCTGATAAGCAGCTTCGAACGCTGGCCTCCTTTGGACGGGCACAAGCGGCTCTGAATACAAACACAGTCACCTGTGTGCGTTCTCATGCATAAACTTGAAGCTCACGCTGTTCGAATGCCTGCATTTATAAAACTGGAGCATACACTTAGACCCGGGGTGGTGTTACACCTGCTCGGAAAACAGCGAGTCACCTCAGGCTGGGGCCAGACAGCACGAGCGTCCTTGACGCCACAATCCCCCTCTGCCCCGTGGGTCCCTGCACTTGTCTTCTGTTCTACCCATTTTTTTAAAAAGTTGCAATATATTTTAAATGCTCACATTAACAAAGGCACGTTTACACACAGGCAAGGTAAAACAACATATAACTGTGCGATTCACAGAACTTACACACAATATTAATTCAGAGACTGCACACATCTTAGCCTAAAAGAAATGAGCCGAGCCACGGCGCTGACGGGAAGCGCGTGCGCGGCAGGAGAAACGAGCAGCAGAGCAGTATCGGTGGGAGAATGAAGCGGCAGGAGCTCCCGGAGCCCCGCAGCCCAGACCCAACACGCACTCCCCAGCACCGCCCTGGGGCCTGCTACCAGAAGCCCTTCCCCTGGGCTCCTTACCTGCCTCCGGAAATTCACTTCAGGCAAACAGCTCCTCAACTGTGATGGGCGGGCTGTGGCCGGGGAGAAAGAGGAAGGTGGGGCCCTGTGGAAACACAGAACATGGGTCATGGGAGGAGCAGGGAGGGCCCTCGGGGCTGCCAGAGTCCGAGCTGGAAACCCGACCCACGCCGATGGACCGATGGACCGGTGGGAAGCTCCTGGCAGCGGGCTCCGCCGCGGTCCAGAAATACCTGTGTGTCTGGCCGGCCCGGGGAACCTGCACCAACACCTCTGGGATCAGGTGCTGACTGCAGTGCGGCCCGCCTGTCATTTCCGGCTGAAGCAGGCCACCACACCCCCTCCTGCCTCGGGTTAGTCACCGTGTCCAACAGAGAGTGAGTCACTCAGGCAGCTGACGGGCGAGCCCCGCACCTGCACGGGAAGGCATCCTGCCCACCGCGCACAGCCTGGGCCGGGCACAGGGGCCGCCGTGCTCCACCTGCTCTGTGCTCAGATGCGCACTGCTGTTTGTCCTGTGCCTGGGAACATCTGTGGCTGGACGTGTAAACATAAGCCAACCGCCCCCATCCACATAAAACACGGCTGCGGGTCAGTGACAACCTGCCGGCCTGCCCACATGTCTCCGGGCCCCTAACACGCCTCTCACAGAGATCAAAGAACACTGTCGCACAACCTCATTGTTGAGGTCCTGTGTGGGAGCCCAGCGGAAGCGGGTAGGGGGGCACCCAGCCCCCTCCTCTGCTGTGTGCACTGACCTCGGGGCCCCTGGTTACGGGCAGACTCCCAACTCAGCCCTGCTGTGAGGACGAGGTCTGAGGACGACACTTTGAGAAACCTGTTCTGGGGCACCTGGGTGGCTCAGTCGTTAAGCTTCTGCCTTTGGCTCAGGTCATGATCCCAGGGTCCTGGGATCGAGCCCCACATCAGGCTCCCTGCTCGACGGGAAGCCTGTTTCTCCCTCTCCCACTTCCTCTGCTTGTGTTCCCTCTCTCGCTGTGTCTCCCTGCCAAATAAATAAATAAAACCTTAGGGGGAAAAGAAAAGAAAAGAAAAGAAAAGAAAAAGAATAAAAACCTGTTCTGCGGGAGGTGGGGGAGCGAGGACAGCTAGGAAACCCCTCTTTCACTGTCTTTCGGGAAAGAAAGACGGCCACTCACAGGGTGGGGGACGTGGTTCCCAGAGAAAGTGAGATTTCAAAAGCCTGCCCTACAGGTAGATGCTGCTGGAACCCTCTGGGTCTCTGGTCTGTGTATCTCTTCAAGCAGCAATGGCTCTTGGAGGAAGGAACTGTCACCCACCCCTCCCACTCCCTCCACCCTCAGACTGCTGGAACAGCAACCCCTAGGGCAACAGGCATCTTTAGCGATTAGTTGCTCTTTTATTCCTCTAGATATCAAAGCACCGAAATACCAAGGCTCCCTGGGGAACCTTCCACCCAAGTCCCCACATTCCTTCAAAAAGAGATGAGAAGGGGCAGCCTTCTCCACTTCTGAGGGCTTTAATTTCTTCAACTACCACAACAGCCAATTAGCCTCCTACTGTCTACAGGACTCAGGTCCTTCCAAGAAGCAGAGAGGACCTTTGTATTAGTGACTTGAAGGGGAAGGCAGAGCTGTTCCTGATGGGACTGTCCAGGGATTTGTGACCAGCTGTTCTATTTGCCATTTTATGATCAGGTCAATGTGCCCATTTTACAGAGGAGAAAACTGAGGCTCAAAGTCCTGGTGGCCCCCGAGTCAGTGGAAGACAGTTCTGCTTTGCTGCCCATCAGCTGTGCATCCGGGGTTGGTCACTTCATTTTGCCCTCTGTAAAAATGGAATCGTGACCCCTACCATGTCTTCCCTCACTGGTCAGGGCAGGCCTCATGAGTGGAGGCCCAGAAGGCCCTATCCTTGGGTTAGAGCTCTACTATCACAGTCTTGAACCGCTTAATCATTTCTGAACAAGGGGCCCTGCGCCGGGCCCTGCAAATTATAAAGCTGGTCCAGAATGAGAAAAAGAATGCCAAGGGGCCTCTCAAACTGCCACGGGCCCTGGAACCTGAAGTAGATGCGATACAGATTCAAGAAGGATTTCCTAAAACCTTTCTCGGGGTACACAACCCCGTGTCAGGCTCAGGGAACAGGAGATGCCAACGTGGGGCTGTGACACGGAGCCTACCTTCCAGGAAGTGCCCAAGTGGCTGAGGAGACCACACTACACAAAGCAAACACAAAACAGCACAAACAGTACCTAAGGACGAGCCAAAGAGATAGGTCGGGCTAAGACACGAACGCCGCCAGGGTCAGATGCACGCACTGCACCGGGCCCAGCCCCTTCCCCAGAGCAGCTCAGCAGCGGTGGGACAGACCGGGGCTTGGGCCCAGCGCAGTAAGTGACAGAAGAAGGAAAGGGCAAAGCTCTTCGAGCACACAGAGGAAGAGCTTGGGAGAGAGGAAACTGGAGGGAGGTCTTGAAGGATGAGCAGGAGTTTGCTGGCAGAAGGGAAGGAGAAGGACACTGGAGGCACAGGGACGTTCTCTGAACAATTACTGAGCGTCTACTACATGCCAGGCCCTGTGGTAGACATCAAGGACACGCAGCTGGGCAGAGCAGCCGTGGTCTGCCTGAGATGAGGGCTCCTGGAGTCACGGCCAGGTACGTGCACCCGCAGACATGGGGACAGATGACACGAAGGGTAAGTGCAAGGTGCCCTGAGGACCTGCAGCGGGGTGCCTGACCCGGCTCTGAGGCGACGTGTCCAGAGAAGATTTAGACTTTGGAAATCCTCGAGGAGGAAGGAGGTGTCGGGTGAGAGGTGTCGACGTGAGCTGGTACTGGACCCCAGGGGTCTCTGAGAGGGGTGAGCAGAGGCACCGAAGCAGGGGTACATAGACAAGGTCTGAGCTTCTCAAGACCACCATGCTCTCCAAGGGGCAGAGCTGTGGGGGGAGGCCCCACCGGACCAGGAGGGAGGTGGGGCCGAGGACAGGCTGAAGACTAGGACTGGACTCCATGGGCCACGGAGAAGCCCACAGGGGCTGGCAAGTAGGGCAGAACTGTCCTTCACATAGAGTTGTTCCCACAGTGGACGTCGGCAAAGCGTTCTGGAGACAGAGTCAGAACGCGGTGAGCAGCCGGGTCTGGGAGACCCTGTCCTGACAGGGCGGTGAGGACAGAGCAAGCTCTGGCCTCCTAGTGAAGCTCTGGCCTCCTGGTGGCCCCATTACCAGCCAGGTGGCCCTGGGGATGTCACCGACCAACAAGTGTATTTGGCACCAACTGTGTGTTGGGATAGATCAGCGAAAAAACAGTCAAAAATCCCTACGTACCCTGGTGAGAGGGGAGAGCAGACAAACAAAATAAAAACCAAACAATGGGGCATAATTACAGTGTGGGTGGTAGAAGGTGACCGACGGGTGCTGGGATAAAAACCGAGCTGGGGGAGGGGACCAGGAATGCGGGGTAGCCAGGTGGGCCTTCCTGAGCACACACTGGAACGGGGTGACGGAGTGAGCCGTGGGAGCCCAGAGCAGAGCTAGACGGAGGCCCCAGGGTGTAGTGAGCTGGAAGAAGAGCAAGGAAGGCCACAGGAAGGGAACGTGCACAGGGACAAGGGGTGCAGACAGTGAGGCCTCTGGGAAACCCGGCCTGGACCCGTAAGACGGGGTGGCAAGCAGAGGGCAGCCTGGCCTGACCTGGGTGCTGGCAGGAGCGCCCTGGCTCAGAGGTGGCAGAGGGCTGAGAGCAGAAGCAGGAGGAGGCCGTGGTGGGAATTCAGGCAAAAGGAGCAGACGGGACATCAGGAGGGTCAGCTGGCACGGCACACAGGTGCGTGGGACGGGGACGCCCAGGTGTGGGGGTTAAGCACCGGAAGGCAGCACTCCTGTCAACCACGACGGGAGAGACGCAGGAGGAACAGTTTTGGAAAAGGACCAAGGGTTGAATTTCAGAAAGCTTATAGCCTTCCCATCAGTAAGCCTCAGTTTCCTTATCTGTAGAATGGGGATGATAATGGCCCCTTCCTATCAGGGTTGAGAAAATGAGAGAACAGAGAGAGAGCAGTGGGCACAGTTAGTAACTGGCATACAGCAAAGGCTCAATAAATACTAGTTGCTCCAACGATAAGATCACACGGTGATAAGAGATGATGTGAGTAAGTGATATTTTGGTTATAGGATGGGGGGGTGGTGGGAATAAGACTAAACAGTAAACTCAAGGGCTTAAAACACCCAGCTTCCTTTCCTGCCTCTCCCCTCCCAGTTCACCCATCGGCCCCCAACTAGCTCAAAGGAACTGATAAGGGGTGAAGAGCTACGGGGTCGGGGGAAGGGCAGGACCGCACCTCCATGTTTCACCCACCGCCCTAAATCCCTGGGGGTGCCTTAAAGCAGTTTCCCAACCTGGGCACCACGGGGATTTGGGAATATTGTAGGCTAATGAGCAGCGTCCCTGGGCTGTACCCAGTAGGTGCCAGCGGCAGCTCCTCCTGGGCTGGGACAACCAAAAATGTCACCAGACATTGCCGTGTGTTCTCTGGGAGGCAAAATCAGCCTGGGTTGAGAACTCCTCTAAAAGAATAGTTGATATACACTCTAAACTCTTGGCCAAGCGCCGTGCTCACCCCTTCACGTACAGGAATCACTGAGGCTTCAGAACAAACGTCCTTCTAAGATTTAACAAATGAGGACACGCTGATGCAGAGGTCGCCCAGTGACCCCTCAGCCAGTCCGTCCGACTCCGCACCCAGGCAGGATTCGAACCCAGATCGTCCAAGTTCTGAACCACTGTGGGACACTGCTGTCCCAGGGAGCACGTAAATGGGTAGAAAGCGCTCAGGGCCAAGGAGAGGGAGGCAGGACCAAGCCCAGGCTGCAGGTCCGACCGTCAGCGACATCAAAACTGGGGCACTGGAGAGAATTTCCACGAGCTCTGCTCTCAGTAATTAAGCGGCAACCTCCCGCACTCTGGGGCCCCATGAGCAACCGCCTTAATTAATAAATTCCACACTGCAGCCCCCTCCATCGGGAGCCAGGCTCCGCGTTCTCGAGGCACACTCTACCATCATGAGCAAAACAGGTCTAATGGTAGCTCTGGCGAGT